GGAGAGGTTTGGACACAACTGAGAATGAGCGATGGGGCTCGGGGCTTAATGGGCCAGAATATGTGGATCGGGCTTAAATTAATCTAAGGGCTATAATAAGAATGAAACCGCTCATCAGGTGTCAAACTTACTGTCATCAGTGTTATGCTATTTTTATGTTGTTACTTTAATTATCTAGTATATAAAATCCACTTTCAGATCATTTATATGTACCTATCAAAAGATAATTGTAAATATAATATAATATTAATAACTATAAAATATAAAATGATATTGTTGTATCATCTTTACATATCTACTTTCAATAATAATTTAATTTTGTAAGTAAACAATGTATTTCACTTAACACATTTTTCCACTTGCAAAAAAAATTGTGACTTTCATACTTTCAATTCACTTGTACATTCTAGAGTGAGGAGTTCATAGTCTAGGATCGCACGGTAAAAAAACATAAATAAATTAATTTTTTGTAGCGGTGTTATTTCACTTTATTTCTTTACTTTTGCTCTTGATGATTTGGTCGGTAGAAAGGGGAAATTTTTTGTTAGGAAGAATAGTATGCACGGAATCACTATACGGAGTCATTTGTCTGTGCTTGAAACCTTAGATGACCGTCTAGATATTCAATACACCGTATCACCATATTTCATTCAACTAATTAAAATAATCCAATTCGTACCTCTAATTTGACGTGACATATGCTTATAATGAACGGTTCAGTACACTTGATATACATAGTACGTAGTTTGCTTAGACAAAGCGTGACATATGCTTATAATGAACGGTTCAGTACACTTGATATACATAGTACGTAGTTTGCTTAGACAAAGAATTAATAAAATCACTAAAATCCCACTCAAAGCAGCTAATAGCGCCACCTCGATATTCTATTTTCTGTCCTATTTGCACATATCAACCCCATACACCCACTTATAGCAACGCTTTCCGCTTTAACCTTTTATTTTCTGTCCTATTAGTAAAGATCGTTTTTAGCTCCTTTTCATGCTTAACACCTTCACAATATACCTCACCGCCAAGTTAACCAGCTAATACCTCAAAAGCTCTCAAATGAGAAAACATCCCGACAAATTATTTCACAAAATGTGGGAAGAAATAATTATGTTCCTTATAAGTATAGCACCATTAACAAATGGAAAATGGAACGAGGCACCCTGAAAACTGAAACCATTCTTTTCTGTAGAGATTTGAGCACAAACATAGTTCGACCTTAATCTTCAAAATTTTCAGGGCATTTCAATAACTAAAGCACTCAAGACATCCATCAATAACAAGTAGGTAGGCCGCTAACCAAGTGCATTGCATATATAAGCAATACATCAATAACTACAACATCAAAACTTTAAGAGTACGGGTTTTCATTTGGGCGCTCATTCCCTTTCTTTGACTTTCCTCGGGCCAATTTCACCTTCATGTCTCTGCTTCAGTATTGTTGTGTGGTTCACTTCACCGTAAAAGTAACCTTTTCTTGATTGCCTTTTAGAAAGAAGTTCAAATCACGGCAAATCAAATTCTAGAACAAGCAAATCTAGATTGGGAAAGAAAGATTTTAAGTGCTAATATTGTGGCAAGAAGGGTCATTTCAAGAGGGAGTGCCGGGCATCAAAGAAAAATACCGGGGCACAGGAGTCTGCCAACGTGACCGAGGAAGGAGGTGATTCTATGATTCTAAGCGTCAACGGTCCGATTGAATCATGGATTCTTAATTTAGGAGCATCCTACCATGCCACCCCTTGTCGGGAAATCATGGAGAACTACGTCAGCGGTGATTTCGAAAAGGTACATCTAGCAGATGATGAAACCTTAAAGATCGTTGGTAAGAGAGACATCCGATTAAAATTGCCAAATAAGACCACATGGAAGCTGCAAGGAGTGAGACATATTCCTGGCCTTAAAAGAAATTTGATCTCCGTAGGATAGCTTGATGGAGAGGGTTACTGTATAACTTTCTCAGGTCATGAATGGAAAATTACCAAAGGAGCACTCGTCATTGCTCGAGGTAAGAAAAGTGGTACTCTCTATGTAACCTCTAACCTAGAGAATATTATTGCAGTAACAGTTGCAGATGAAAAATCAATCCTATGGCACTAAAGGGAAGCTGTCGGATCTGAACAATGTGGATGTTAGTCTATGCGAGGATTGCATCTTTGGCAAGCAGAAGAAAGTCAGTTTTGCAAAGATTGGAAAGACACCCAAGGCAGAAAAGTTAGAGTTGGTTCATACCGACGTATGGGGGCCATCTCCAGTTTCATCTCTTGTAGGTTCACTGTAATATGTCACCTTCATTGATGATTCTACAAGGAATGTGTGGGTCTATTTTCTGAAGAAGAAATCAGAAGTCTTTGATACCTTCAGAAAATGGAAGGCCATGGTGGAAAATGAAACTGGTTTGAAGATAAAGTGGTTAAGGTCAGACAATGGAGGAGAGTACAAAGACAGTAGATTCAAAGAATTTTGCGCAAACAACGGGATCAAGATGGAGAAAACTGTTCCCATGACGTCGCAGCAGAATGGTGTAGCGGAACGCATGAATAGAACTTCGAATGAACGTGCCAGAAGCATGAGGATACATGTCGGCTTGCCCAAGTTCCTATGGGCTGAAGCTAACAATACCACAGCCTACCTAATCAACCGTGGTCCCTCAGTTCTCTTGAATGGTGGAATACCTAAGCAAACCCCTTAATCTCCTCTAATCTTCACTAACAAACCTAACTAACCCCATGATCTTCCCTTATCCTCACTAACACACCCAACAACCCCTTTAAAAAAACCCACACCTCTTCATTTTTTCCATCTCACGGAAACCAGAGAAGGGAAGTCCAAAAAAAAAATTAAATAAAAAAATAAAGAGAGAGAGAGAGAGAGAGAGAGAGAGAGAGAACGTAGGGCTGGAACGTGTTTGAAAAATGGTGGATTTTTTCTTGCTTCGGAGTTTCACACGAATTTGGGCAAGCATTCTTTTCCTCAAATCTTATTATTTTTATTATTTTTGTTTTTTGTTTTTTTCAAGCGAGTATCCTTTCCTCAATTATTATGTTTATTATCATTATTATTTGGATTTCCTTCATGCAAGCATCTCTTCCCCCAATTAATTTATGTATATGTATATATTTAGCTTATGCTTCCTGTAGTACTGTTTTTTCCCCCATTCTAGTTCATAGAAATAACTAATAGAATTCAAGTTTAAAATTATTAGATGATAACAATTTTTTTTCTCATTTATTTATTTTATGTTCCTCCCCATGATCTTATCATTTTAGTGATATGAGTATTATAAATTTCACATAATTTTTCGTACAAATCAGAAGATAACAATTTTGACTTATATAAAATATATAAATTTATTTTATTTAATTTGGAAGTATTTATTTAGGATCTTAACTGGAAACCAAAGTTTATTTATTATCTGCATCAGTTATGACAATGAAAGTTTAATAGGTTGTAGTGGTTAGTTGCTTGGACAATGACACACGGGTCCCTAGTTCAAATCCTGGACTCTACAAATTTTTTTCATAAATAAGTGTATTGATTCGGTTTGAACACAAACCTGTACATTTCTGTATTGTTATGGCCATATATGCAAGTTGTTGTTGTGGCCAGCTGCTTTGGACTAATACTCCTAGGTCTAGAGTTCAAATCCCCTAGACGCCAAATACTTTTATTTTTGTTGTTGGGCCTGAGTTCTTTTGTGGGCCTTGATTTTTTCTTTTTAGAGTTTTTAAAGAATGTGAGGTTGCCAACATAAGAAGGGATGATGCCGGTTTTGGGTGCAGGGTTAGGATTAGTAGTTTTAGTTAGGGTTAGGTGATTATTTATAAAATTTTCTGTTTGTTATTCAAATATTAGTTCCATTATTATTATAATATATATATATATATATATATATATATATGTCTTATGACATTAGCACTTGCTCATGCTTGCTAGTCTAGAGAAAGAAACATGAAGTAGAAGAAAAAAGCATAATTGAGAAGGCCAGGTTGATTAACAAGTGCCCATTGGCCTAATTGTGTTTAATATTATACTTTAACTACGTTAAAAAATAATTTTAAGCATGAATGAGGATTCTGTTAGATCTTGTACTTTGGTGGTAGCTTTTACACATATATCTCAACCTTCAAGCATGAATGAGGATTCTGTTAGATCTATCATATTCATATCAGTGCCATGTTGTGTTGTGTGGACAATATGCAATCACTTGGCATGTCTTTATCAACCTAATTACAAAGTACCCAAGTAATTCTATTAAAAATGACAAACAATGTATAAGAGGGCAAGGAAACTTGTGAAATTTCAACTTAATTACAAAGGTATATATAACCATGCATATTGCAAAACGTTATATATATACATGCTTAAATGTCCCTGATGGACAACAAGTCGATCAGGCTGATCTTGCAGAAGCGATTAGGGACCTGGTAGCTCATAATCGTCAGAGGGACGAGCAGCGACAGGTTGCAAGGCCGGGCAATGTGTCCGATTTTCGGAAGCTCAACCCGCAACACTTTGCTAGGACTGAAGGCGGATATTAGGCCAAGATGTGGTTGCAGACCATGGACTGCTTATTAAGGGCAGCAAAGATACCAGATGAAGACCCAGTTGATATTGTTCAGCTGCAGCTCATTAATGTAGCCAGGACCTGGTGGGACGCAGAGGAGGAGAAGCTGCCTAGGACGATTTCATGGGAGATATTCCGGGAGAGTTTCCTAGAGGCATTTTATCCGAAGACAACTCGTCTTGAGATGTAGAGGCAGTTTGTTATGTTGAGGCAGAGAGCTAGTACAGTAGATGAGTATGTAGCAGAATTTGCCAAGCTCAGCAGGTTTGCCCCGGGGATGGTATCGAATGAGGTTGATAAGGGACAGAGGTTCATGCAGGGTCTGAACTTTGAGATTCAGACTCAAATTTACAATCAGAAGGGGATAGAAGCTTATGCAGATGTCCTAGAGGCAGCTCGGAAGGCAGAATAGTTGATTGGGATCATGAACTCGGTGAAGAGAGGGGCAAACAAGCGCCCCGTAGGACAGAACTCGGGAGGTAACCAGCAGAAGCCTCAGATGGGAGGAGCACCAGCCAAGCGCCAGCAGACAGGGGCTTCGAGACCAACTCCACAACCAACCAACATGATCTGCCATTTCTGCAGCAAGCCGGGGCACTTGATGAAGGACTGCAGGAGAGCTAATGGGTTGTGCTTAGCATGTGGGGTAGCAGATCATCAGATCACCACTTGTACTAGTAGGGGAGTCTCAGGAGGATATTCAGGTGGAGCGATAGTACTAGCAGGCTAGACTAGACAGGGCGGACAACAGCTGAGGCCACCACTTCCCACATAGCAGCAGATGTTTTAAGGACATCAGAGGGGTCAACAATTTCAAGGCCAGAGACAGTGGAGAGGTCCTCATTTCCAGCACCCATATCAACCACCTTATCAGCAGAGGCACCCAAGGCAATACGGACAGCAAGCTCAGCAGCAGCAGAGACAAGGTCAAGTTATGACACTTACCACTGAGCTGGCAGATGCATCTAGAGACGTAGTCACAGGTATCATTTTGGTGTATTCAGTCCTTGTATTTACCCTATTTGATTCTGGGGCATCGCATTCTTTTATTTCTACTCAGTTCATTGCACGACACACTATACCATGTGATAGTTTAGAGGCGAGCTGGAATATCCATACCGGTAGCGGGGTGTTAATGTCTAGTAGGGAGTGTAAGAGATGCCCAGTGGTAGTTTGTGGTAGGGAGCTATTTGCAGACTTGTTGGTGATTGACACTAACGGGTTCGATGTTATTTTGGGGATGGATTGGCTATATAACTTCCATGCGACGATCGACTGCCAACGCAGAAGCGTAGTGTTCAAGAAACCAGGCCACCCAGAGTTTGAATTCATGAGTGGAAGCAAAGTGATGGAGCAGCCCGAGTATCGAGCAGGCATGGATGGAGTATTAACCTGTATAGAGGTAGAGGAGAAGCCCATACCAGAAATTGTCGAGGAATTCCTTAACGTTTTTCCTGATGAGTTGCCGGGTCTGCCACCAGATCGAGATATACAGTTCGTCATCGATCTTATTCCAGGAGTTGCACCTATTTCAAAACCACCTTACCGAAAGCCGGTAGTAGATTTGGAGGAGTTGCGGAAGCAAGTCCAGGAGTATCTTGATAAGAAATTGATCAGGCTTAGTACTTAATCTTGAGGAGCACCAGTGGTGTTAGTGCCAAAGCCGGATGGCAGCCGAAGAATGTGTATTGAATACAGGGAATTGAATCGGGTTACTATCAAAAATAAATACCCAATTCCCAGGATTGATGACCTTTTTGATCTGCTCAGAAAAGCTCGTGTGTTTTCTAAGCTGGACCTCAGGTCAGGTTATCATCAGTTGAAGGTGAGGAAGGAAGACATACCCAAGACCGCATTCTGCACACGGTACGGGCACTATGAGTTTTTGGTGATGCTATTTGGAGTGACAAATGCTCCATCTACATTTATGAGCTTGATAAACAAGGTGTTTTCCCAGTATCTTGATCAGTTTGTTGTGGTGTTCATCGATGACATTATTGTGTACTCCAAGACCAAGGAAGATCATGCAGAGCATCTAAGGACGGTGTTGGAAATCCTACGGACGGAGAAGCTTTATGGAAAAGTGAACAAGTGTGAGTTTTGGCTGGAGCAAGTGTCCTTCTTGGGGCATGTGATTTCAGGAGAAGGCATCTCTGTGGACCCGAAGAAGGTTGATGCGGTGTTGAGATTAGATCCACCTACATTAGTGACAGAAGTACGAAGTTTCTTGGGGATGGCTAGATATTATAGGAAATTCATAAAGGATTTCACTAAGATTACGGGACCACTTACTAGGCTAACTCGGAAGGAGGTCAAGTTTGTGTTGGCTCCAAAGTGCCAAGCAGCATTTGAGGAGTTAAAGAAGAAGTTAACGACTGCACCAGTCTTGACAATTCCAAATGAGTCAGGAGGATTTGTAGTGCACACGGATGCTTCTGGTTTGGGTTTAGGTTGTGTTCTGATGCAACATGGGACGGTAGTAGCTTATGCATCTAGGCAGTTGAAGACACATGAGAGGAACTACCCAGTTAATGATCTGGAATTGGCGGCTGTGATTTTTGCATTGAAGATATGGCGGCACTACCTTTTGGGGCAGAGAGTAGAGGGGTACACAGATCATAAAAGCTTAAAGTATTTCTTCACTCAGAAGGAGCTCAACATGAGACAATGCAGGTGGTTAGAGCTTATGGCGGATTATGATCTTGATTTACAATATCACCCAGGACGAGTTAATGTAGTGCCAGATCATTTGAGCAGGAAACCTGTGGCGATGAGACTCACCAGACAGCGGGAGTTGCTAGCTGAGTTCTGGAGGATGAACATGGAGGTTATATTGCCTGGAGCAGGGAGACAGTTGATGAGTTTACATTTACAGTCAACTCTGGTGGACCGGATCAAGGCTACCCAGTTCGAGGATGCTCGGTACCAAAAATTTAAGAAACAAGTGGAGTTCGGGGAGAGAACTGATCTACAGATACATGAGGATGGATCCTTGCGATTCCGTGGTAGGTTGTGTGTGCCTAAGGGTGATGTTAGACGAGAACTGTTGGAGGAGGCACACAGTTTAGTGCTTTCTATTCATCCAGGAGGCACGAAGATGTATTGGGACTTAAAAGAGCATTACTGGTGGCTAGGAATGAAGATGGAGATAGCCCAATTTGTGTCAAAATGCCTAACATGTTAGTAGGTGAAGGCTGAGCATCAGAGAACAGCTGGGTTATTGCAGCCCCTTCCTATTCTCGAGTGGAAGTGGGAACATGTTACGATGGACTTTGTCACAGCTCTGCCGAGGAGCCAGAAGGGAAACAACGCCGTATGGGTAGTAGTAGACCGACTCACTAAGTCGGATGGCTTCATACCATTTCGAGTTGGGCAGACAACGGAGAGTTTAGCGGAGCTCTACATGAGGGAGATAGTGCGCTTGCATGGGGTACCGGTTAGTATTGTTTCTGATAGAGACACACGATTCTTATCACACTTTTAGAGGAGCTTGCAGCAGTGTCTTGGGACTAGACTGAGTTACAGCACGGCTTACCACCCTCAGACAGATGGACAATCCGAGAGGACTATACAGATTCTGGAGGACATGTTGCGGGCATGCATGCTGGATTTCAAGGGTTCTTGGGAAGACCACTTACATTTGGTGGAGTTTTCTTATAACAGCAGTTATCAGGCCAACATCCAGATGGCACCTTATGAGGCATTATATGGGAGAAAATGTAGATCTCCTACCTGTTGGGATGACTTGGGAGAGCGGCATCTGCTAGGTCCTGAGATGATAGTGCAGATAGTGGATAGGATAAAGACAATACGGGAACACCTTAAATCAGCTCAGGATAGACAGAAGAGCTGGGCTGATGCTAAAAGGAGACCTCTATAGTTTCAGGTTGGAGAGCATGTTTTCTTGAGGATATCCACAACTAGAGGAGTTATCAGATTTGGCAGCCGCGGGAAGCTTAGTCCACGTTTTATTGGTCCTTTTGAGATAATGGAGAGAGTAGAAGAGGTGGCATACAAGCTAGCTTTGCCTCCGTCGTTGGATGGAGTGCATGATGTGTTCCACGAATCACAACTTCGACGATATGTGTGGGATGAGACCCATGTCCTATACATCGAGCTTCAGATTGGGACGAATTTATCATATGAGGAGCGACCGATGAAGATCTTGGATCGACAGGAGAAGGTCCTCAAGCACAGAACTATCCCACTTGTCTTAGTATCTTGGGGACATCATGGACCTAGTGAGGCAACCTGGGAGCGAGAGGATGATATTCATCAACGCTATCCGCATCTCTTTGCTACAGGTGACTTTTAGTTTTTATTATGGTCGGATAAATTTCGAGGACGAAATTTCTTTTTCTTAGGTGGGTAGGATGTAATAATTCATTTATTTTATTTTATTTTGACAATCAATTATGTTAGAGGCCCACATGATGAAAGGAAAAATAAATAAATAAATAAAAACAAATGACACAAAGGGCCCATTAGTGTTAACTTAGTAAAGCCCATACACAACTCCCTCTCACACCCTTGTTCATCCATTCACGGGTGAAAAATCATGAGATTTTGGTTTAGGTGATATAATACCTAACTAAACCCCTTAATCTCCTCTAATCTTCACTAATAAACCTAACTAACCCCATGATCTCCACTTATCCTCACTAACACACCCAACAACCCCTTTAAAAAAAACCCACCCCTCTTTATTTTTTCCATCTCACGGAAACCAGAGAATGGAAGTCCAAAAAAAAATAATAATATAATAAAAAAATAAAGAGAGAGAGAGAGAGAGAGAGCGAGAGAGTGAGTGAGTGAGAGAGAACGTAGGGCTGGAACGTGTTTGAAAAAGGGGGGATTTTTTCTTGCTTCGGAGTTTCACACGAATTTGGGCAAGCATTCTTTTCCTTAAATCTTATTATTTTTATTATTTTTGTTTTTTGTTTTTTTCATGCGAGTATCCTTTCCTCAATTATTATGTTTATTATCATTATTATTTGGATTTCTTTCATGCAAGCATTTCTTCCCCCAATTAATTTATGTATATGTATATATTTAGCTTATGCTTCCTGCAGTACTATTTTCCCCCATTCTAGTTCATAGAAATAACTAATAGAATTCAAGTTTAAAATTATTAGAAGATAATAATTTTTTTCTCATTTATTTATTTTATGTTCCTCCCCATGATCTTATCATTTTATTGATATGAGTATTATAAATTTCACATAATTTTTCGTACAAATCAGAAGATAACAATTTTGACTTATATAAAATATATAAATTTATTTTATTTAATTTGGAAGTATTTATTTAGGATCTTAACTGGAAACCGAAGTTTATTTATTATCTGCATCAGTTATGATAATGAAAGTTTAATAGGTTGTAGTGGTTAGTTGCTTGGACAATGACACACGGGTCCCTAGTTCAAATCCTGGATTCTTCAAATTTTTTTCATAAATAAGTGTATTGATTCGGTTTGAACACAAATATGAACATATCTGTATTATTATGGCCATAGATGCAAGTTGGTGTTGTGGTCAGCTGCTTTGGATTGTTACTCCTAGGTCTAGAGTTCAAATCCCCTAGCCGCCAAAAACTTTTATTTTTGTTGTTGGGCCTGAGTTCTTTTGTGGGCCTTGATTTTTTTTTTAGAGTTTTTAAAGAATGTGAGGTTGCCAACAGAAGAAGGGATGATGCTGGTTTTGGGTGCAGGGTTAGGTTAGTAGTTTTAGTTAGGGTTAGGTGATTATTTATCAAATTTTCTATTTGTTATTCAAATATTAGTTCCATTATTATATATATATATATATATATATATATAGCAAGCCCAAAATTTGTGCTAGGTAGTGAGGTGGCACAATCCCCTCCACTCCCCAACCCATGTGAATGTGGTCCCCCATTTGAATGAGTGGATGGGATGTTCCACGGTAACTCTGTGGTTAGTGCACAACATTTCATGCACAGTCACTTAGATTAAACAGAAAAACATGGGGTTTATAAAAGGGGAATTAGGCAGAGAATATAACATGTATATAAGCGGGCTTGTGCGCATTCTTGATATCCTGGTATATATATATGTATGAAATAAGGGCCCATCCTGACTTATATACATAAAATATTCTTTTACGGGAAACCGACTTATATACATAAAATATTCTTTTCTAATTAAAATAACATCTAAAATAATATTAATGTGCTTGTGTGTCTTACGATTGACCTTGGTTGATACCTATTATCAGCATTTTTTTCCATCTTTAATTGAGTTTTCATTTTTTTTCTTTATACATGCCACATTACACTTACACGCGCATATTTCCTTCATTTTTCATGCTTGTTAGGATCTTTCTGACTCCCCTGGGGTTTGCGTGCCCCAGATTCGGGAACCGTTCTTTCTTCGCAGGATCGAGAATACTTCGAGGGGCAGGCTCATCAGCAGTGATCACCATTCATTCTATCAGTTATCCAGTTCAATTGATTTAGGTAGATATTTTGTTTAGGCTTTTCTTTAGCCACAAGTGGCTCTCCAGACTATGGTGTATTTTTTCCTTTCTCTTAGGCTTTTCTTTAGCCACAAGTGGCTCTCCAGACTATGGTGTATTTTTTCCTTTCTCTTTAGATAAATTATGGACTTGA